TCTCTGGGGCGGGCAGTATGAATAGTTGAGGAGACTGAGGCAAAACTCAGGCTCACAGAGAACCAAGACATGCGAAGCTAGGCCACGGCATGGCTGGATTTGAACATAGCCCAACCTCTCATTGGCCTTGGCACTTGCCTCATCATGGCAGAAGTCAGGGTACCTGGTGGGCAGGACCTCACACAGGCCACCCTACCCAGTGGGCACGTGGCATCTGGGCAGGGGGCCTACTCTTCTTCCTCTCCCTCCAGCTCATCAAACGTGGAGCTGAGTATTCGTGCTGCCTGCCTCTTGTGTTGTTCTGAAGTATGGAGCTTGTGTGGCTTATCTGCCATAAGATTCTGCAAGGAAGAAACAAATCTAGGCCAGCACCGCGGCTCACTAGGCTAATCCTCCACCTTGCGGTGCTGGCACACCGGGTTCTAGTCCTGGTCGGGGTGCCAGATTCTGTCCCGGTTGCCCCTCTTCCAGGCCAGCTCTCTGCTGTGGCCAGGGAGTGCAGTGGAGGATGGCTCAAGTGCTTGGGCCCTGCACTCCATGGGAGACCAGGAGAAGCACCTGGCTCCTGCCTTCGGATCAGCGCAGTGCGCCGGCAACGGCGGCCATTGGAGGGTAAACCAACGGCAAAGGAAGACCTTTCTCTCTCTCTCTCACACTGTCCACTCTACCTGTCAAAAAAAAAAAAAATCTGAGGGTGCTTCTTAGGAACGGTGGGTGGCACAGCTCCACCAACTTCCTGGCTCGAATCTGGCTGTACCTGAGGCATCTGCTATAGTGTCCCGTGCAGAAGTAAACAGAGTTAGATGGGCTGACTCATTGTCCTTGGCTGGGAAACCCTGAAGCTGGCCTGCAGCTTCCGGACCCCTGATGGTCTGACTCAGCACTAGCTGTGCCCACTGGAAAAGACCCAAGGCCACTGCCAGTCCTGGGGGAGGGAAGTCTAACCACTGTCCCAGGAGCCCGTTGGTCTGACACAGCTCAGTCCACCCTGGAGGAGCAGGTGAGCAATATGGGAGTCCTTTCTGGCCAGCTGGGAAGGCAGCCAGGGGGGCTGGTGAGATGCAACAGGAAGTGGTCTTTACTTTCTATTTTACGTAAAGTTAACTTAAGAGAAACCTAAAATACTACTGACCAGTGGGTTTTAAAGCTATAGATGGGATCCAACTCATATCCCTTTTCCCACTCCTGCCCTGCAATCCTCACTTTGCACCTCCAGAAACCTACCTTTCCCCATCAAAAACACACACCTCTTTGAACACCTCGAGGGCTTTATGGTTCCATGTGGCTGGGACAGAATGCGTTGTTGGCAGTTTGATTTCCTGGTTTTGCTATTTCACCTGTTACAGCAAGGCCCCCCTCACGCAGGAGGAAGTAATCGGCTGAGTGGAGGACAGCATTTTTGTGTGGGTCTGATTTTCCTGCAGGGTGCGCATCACGTTGCCTGGGTGTAAGGGAGCTGACACTTGGAGCTCAGACTCCCAGCTGACCTGGGTGTTCTCACACACCCCCTGCAAGCCTCAGAGCCGCTGCCTTTCACTGTCACTTACCTTCCTCTGTCACTCTGGCTTCATTGGCAGCCACTGGGTCTGTCTTCTGAACAGAAGCATCCCTTAGAGCCCTTGTCTTACACTTGTGCTTCCCCCTACAGTGCGTGACCCAGGTGGAACACCTGCGATGGCTCAGTCCCCATTCAGATGCCTTCTCACTCTTGAGTCACGATGACCGAGTGCTTTCTTTTCACGGTCAGATGCTGGCAAGTACTGGGCACAGTGGTTACCAGGGGAGGCAGGAACCCTCTACAACGGGTTCTGCACACAGAGATGTTCACTGCGGTGTTGTTTACAACAGTGGTGTAGAAAAAGGTGGAGATAACTTACATGTTCCTCAGTAGGGGAGGTTGGAGAAATTAGGGCACATGCCACACAGTGAGACAAGCAGCAGCTGTTGTGAGAACGACCGACAGCCAAATGTTTTAAAAAAAAAAATGTCCAAGGAAAATTAGGAGGCGTGATGACATTTATGCAAAAGGGAAGTCAAGGGAGGCTTCCACACATGATACCTGCACAGAAGCATCTGGGAAGGGTGAGCCACACACTGAGTGGCTCTCTATGGGGAGTGGACCGAGATGTCAGGGGTGGGAGCTTTTAGCTTTTATTTTTTCTGCCAGTGGTTGAATTTTTAACATTATGATTGCATTGCTTTTATTCATTAAAGAAAAAAAAAAGAATGGTCATTTAGCCTAGCGGTTTGGAAGCTGGCATCCTATATCCCAGGACCTGGGCTCAGCGCCTAGTTCTGGCTCCTGATTCCAGCTTTCTGCTCGTGTCCACCTTGGAAGAAAGAAGTGATGGTTCAAGTACTTGCATCCCTGCCACCCACTTGGGAGACCTAGATTGCATTCTCAGCTCCTGGCTTAAGCCTGGTCCACCTCTGACCAGTGCAGCTATTTGGGGAGTGACCCAGCAGATGGGGGCTTGCTCTCTCTGCCTCTCAACAAAATATCAAAACAAACCCAGTTAAGAACACCAGCTGTCTTTGGATGGCAATGACAAGGGTTAACTCTAAAAGACAGCCCTCCCAAGTGGCTGGAGCCAAACAAGGCGGAGGATGGTGAAGTGGATTGGGGAGGTGAGCAGCAGGCACACAGTTTTTCCCCCTGTGAGGTTGTGGCTCATTCTGCTTTCAGTCCACTGGCTAAAGCCAACAACCTTCCAGCTCTACCCATGAGGTAGAGTTGAGATTGAACTCTAGAATGCCCTCTCATGGCCCTGGAGTGGCTGGAGTTAGGGTTCCCTGGCCACTCACTGGCTGCCACCACCCCTGTTGTAGAAGCTGGCCGTGTACCCCACAGCGCCCAACATGGTGTGCATCAGAACTGACGACCCTATGGTTGCAGGGTGCCTCAAGTTGCTGTCACTCAGAACCTACCAGTGGCTTACTCCTGCTTTACCTGTGTTCAAGGCTTTCTGTGGTTCAGCCCCACTTTCTCCTTTCAACCTTACTTGCCACGATTTCTCAGTATACACCAACATGCATTGCCTGGGTTGGAATCCTGGCTTTGCTGCTTAGCGCTGTGTGACCTCAGACAAATCATTTAGCCCACCTGTGCCTCAGTTTGCTGGAGGAAGACAGGGTGGATAATAATGGCACCTACCCCATAGCACTGGCATGGAATTAATTTTTTTTTTTTTTTTTTGACAGAGTTACACACAGAGAGAGAGACAGAGAGAAAGGTCTTCCTTCCATTGGTTCACTCCCCAAATGGCCACTGCAGCCGGTGCTGCACTGATCCGAAGCCAGGAGCCAGGTGCTTCTTCCTGGTCTCCCATGTGGGTGCAGGGGCCCAAGCACTTGGGCCATCGTCCACTGCCTTCCCGGACCACAGCAGAGAGCTGGACTGGAAGAGAAGCAGCCGGGACTAGAAGCTGGCGCCCATAAGGGATGCTGGCACCCCAGGTGGAGGATTAACCTAATCAGCCACAGTGCTGGCCCCAGAATTAAGTGTTAATATATGGAAATGTGGAGAAGGTGTCTGGCACAGTAGGTGCCACTCCAGTGTTGCTTGTCTCTTATGCCTCCCCACCCTCACTCCATGGCTCTGGCTGGCGTGCTTTTCCTGGTCACAGCCCTCCCTGTCTTTATCAGGCGGTACCTCCGCCCGCCACCATAAGGCTTCCCTAAGCACCCTTGCCATCAGTACACTTCCAGAATCCCCTGGGGAACTCAGTGAACTGAAGATTCCTGTGACCGACTCCCAGAGATTCTGCCCAAGTCTGAGGCAGGGCACAGGGACCTGCACCCAGGTGGTACCCACACATGGAATGCAAGGTCACACGGAGAAACAGGTCCTTATTGGTCTTCTCTGGGCCAGCATTGCATTTCCATCTGTCTTGTGGTGCTTTCCACAGGCGAGGACTTGGAAGGCACCTTACCCTATCCCTCCCAGGGCACAGGCTTGCTCCTACTCACTTTCCCATCCTCTGCGATGCCTCATGCACCCTGCACTCCTGAGAAATGTTTGTGCGCCTTAATGGCTTGCTGGGAAGAGCTCACCCTTTTGCCTGCCTGAGCTTTCTCTGTGTCTCGTTGTCATCAGGGTGTGTGTGGGTGCACTCACCAGAGGCTTGTGTAGCTGACCCCAAGCAGGCTGTGGGCTTCTCCCAGGTGGACTTACCCTAGCAGCTCTGTAGGGAAGGCAGTCCACTTGGATTTTAATTGCCCATTTGGAAAGGAAGTGGGAAGTGTGCAACACAGAGCCTGTACCTGGCCACTCCTGACTGGATGCTGGGCGTCATTATGTTCAGTGTGGAGTCTGGGCAATGCACCTGATGACACGCCTGATTCCGGGCCAACCCGCCAGCCCCAGCATCTCACTCCAAGCAGAGCTACTAAAGCCCAGGCACAGCAGGGGCTTTTAAAGATGCAGGACACTCCTTCCACCTAACCAACCTCTTGGCCCCACTCATTTCACCTTGTCAGCAGGTGCAGCAAAGGCAGTCCTGGGCCATGCTGCACAGCAAGTGTGCAGAAGCTGGGGCACACCCAGCATCCTTGGGGAGGGAAAGACACTTCTTAGAGAAAGAGGGCAGCGTGGGTTGTCCTTAGTGGGAAGGACTCAGGGTCTCTGAGGACTGGAGCAACTCCACCTAAAGATGCTGCCTTTTGCCCAACACCAAAGGCTTCCTGTAACCCCCAGCATTTCATAGCACACATCAGCTCCAGGAAGCGAGGGCCTGAGCTGGAAGCGACCCTACGGCTGGCTTTCAAAGGCCCTTTCTGGAACTCCATGGGCAATGCACAAGCGGCCTCAAAAACCGCCCAGAAATGTTCTGTTTTGTTATTTTTCAAAGTTTCCCCGCAAGTGTAGGAATAAAAGAGGAGTGAAAGCTGCTGCCTGCCGTCAGGAAATGCACCCCCCCACCCCCCCCACCCCCCCCACCCCCGCAGACCCTGCCCCAGGAGGTCCCAGGCTTCCTGAATGTAAGAACAAACACCATGACTGTTTCTACTCCTTGTAAGAATTTAATTCTCCCCTTAGTATAAATAAGGCAGCATGAGACACCCGGAGCCCCACTGCCGTCTGCCTCAGAAGCAGCGCTGGTGCATAAAAGATGCCTGTTTCCCACCGAGTCCTGTTGTCTCTGCATAAACAAGAAGCCGGAAGGGATTCTGTGCAGCACAGGGGAGGCCGGGGGAGATCCAGGCTCGGGCTTGGCTCCTGGCCGCCGGCTCTCGGTTGCTGGGGTCTCTTCAAAGCACAATGGGATACAGATGAAGAGGGGCAAGGCACAGGTAGTAATAAATAAGGAAAACGATTCTGGTTCTGGAAATGAGTCCTGGTGGAACAGAGAGGGGGCTCGGGCTGTTGTAAGAGATGCACTTGACCAGGTGCATTCGCAGGGGCGACCGGCTGGCAGTCGTGACTTCAGACAGGCAGACCTAGCACCTGTTCAGGTCACACAACGGGGCTTCCCACAGGCTCCGTGGCCCCGGTCACTGCAGAGTCTCCTGCTGTGAACCAACCCTGGCACGCCCACAGTCGACCTTCCAGAGCTTTCTGAGGCTGGGTGAGAACTCGTCTGGGCACCCTGTCCACTTGGTTATGCCGTCTGGGAGGCGTGGCAGGGTCAGATGCTGGCAGGAAAGTTGGGGGGGGCTGTGCTCCCTGCTCTTGCATCCTCCTCCTACTTTGGTCCCCTGTGAGGGTTATTGAGGCGAAGGTGACAGAGGTACTCCTAAGGGCCAGTGAAGCCACAGTGGAGGTGCACAGGCTGCTGGGCCCTCCGGAAGCAGGCCCGGAGGTGCAGCCCTCTGTGCACAGTCCCCAGGGCGCTGAAGCAGCCTCAGGTGGCTATGCTGACAGCGATGTCTCTCTGGGTCCCCTCTGCTGGGCTCTTTGGGTCTGGTCATCCGTGTGGTCAGCAAGGCCCATGGACAAAGGGTGGGCTCTGTGCAGTGAGGAACTTGGGGAGGGGGTGGTCTGAGGCCTGCAGGCTGGTGCTCATGGTGCCAAGCAGGCCGAGCCCTAGGACTGGGGCCCCAAGGACCACCCAGGCTGTAGCAGCCCTCACCCTCTGGCTCTGCGACTTTGCACTGGGCCCGATCACAAGCAGACCTCAGCATTGTGGTACTGGGCTCTGTCCCTTGCCCTGTCTCTTTGTGCCTCTCTTGGGACCAGCCTCCACCTTTGGCAGTGTCCTGCCTCTGCCATGGATGGGCAGTCACAGAGACCAGCACTGGCCAGGACAGAGAGAAAGGCTGCTGAGTGGGCACCCAGCACGTAGAGGGCACCCACCAGTGCTCGGGCTACAGCACACTGTGGAAGAGGACACTCCTGTGGCTAACAAGGTGGCCAACTCTCAGCTCCTCTCTGCCACCAAGGACCCAGTTCTGCGGAGTGGAAACATTCATGGGTCACCGAGTCTTTTCTCCAAATAGCATAAAGAACAGAAAGTGGCAGTTGCCATGGGACCCCAACTGTTGTGCAGCATGAGGATCAAAGGCTGGGAATTCCCACCTCTGTCTGTCAGGGGTTTGGCCTGGATGGCTGAGCCAGGGGTCCCAGGAGACAGGTGTGCCAGGTCTTAACCTGGGTCCCCGCCAGCTCACTCGTAGATCCTCTCCTGACGAGCAGAATGAATTGTACCCAAATCAACATTTGCATTCACTCCAACTCAGGGTCCAGAGTGTCCTGTCACTCATCTCGGCCACCCGTGGTGTTCCCAAAGTACACAGCACAGACTCAGTCTCCAAACCCCAGCTGCCTAGCCAGCAGGCCCCAATGGCACGAGAGTGAACCAGCTGCTATTCTGTTTTGTCTACACGGTAGGGCCTGGCTTCGTGGCAGGCTGAACCTCGGCTCCAGCCAAGCCTGCCGTGTTCCCAGGACAGGGCTTGCAGGTACCGCGGGCTGTGGACGTGAGAGGCCCCCCATCCTGGCCCTCAAGTGCCACGCGCTCTACAGGACGACAGCTTTTGGGGGCAGGATGGCATGGTCTGAGGGGACATGTAGGGAATACTCGGTCACAAGTGCCGGGGCATTCTTCAGCATCTCGTAGAAGGAGTCCACTGTCTTACGGTAGAGACTTCGCTGCAGGACGAAGGGTCGGAACAGGTTGAGAGGCTCGGCCCTGTGCACGGCCTCCGGGAGTCCCACGGCCTCGGGCACCTTGCGGTTGCCCAGGAAGAAGTGATGGAGCTTCTTCTCCAGCAGGCTCTTCTCCAGGAAGCACAGCAGCTCGTGCAGACGTGCGGCGAGCTGCGCGGCCTGCCAGTCGGCGGCCCGCCGGGAGAGCAGCAGGTGCAGCAGGGCCGTCTTCAGGTGGTAGCTGCTGAGCCCGCTGGGGCCCGTCAGACGGCTCTGCTTGGACAGCAGGAAGCAGGCGATCTGCAGGCAGCTCAGGTGGCAGGCGCCCTCGGGTAAGGCCTTCAGCATCATCCTCAGGAAGTGGCGCTCGTAGACCGCAAAGGACAGGAGCCAGTCCGTGCTGCAGGCCGTGGTCTCCCCGGAAGGCTCCCTGGGAAGGTGGGAGACAAAGTACAGGTCCGAGTCATCACACTGGATCGCGGGAATCAGGTGGAAGGGCATGAACTTCCCCGAGCGGAACTTGATCTTGAGGGACCCTGGGGTGTCCAGCTGGCCAAAGGCCAGGTCGAACTCGTACTTGTGGGCGATGCGGTGCCAGGCTCTGGTGAGGGCCGTCTGGAACCACTTCATGACCTGCATGGTGTCCAGGTACGGGGACTCTCTGGCGCACAGTAGGTCTTCCATACCGCTGTCTTCGGGCTGCGTCGTCTTGTTCTTGCCATGGAGGAGACACAGCATGTCTTCCCCGAGCTTGGTCTTGCCGCAGACGCAGCCCTGGGCATCTCCGTCGGCCCGGACCACTTTGATCTGGGCATAGCCCTGGCGATCCAGGGGCACCGGGTGGCTGGAGCACCAGAGCTCTGGGTGGAAGCGGTGCGGCTCCGGGGGCGTGAAGGGCACAAAGAGGTGGCAGAGCAGCGGCCTGTCCACCTGCCAGTTCTCGTACATGCTGTCCACGCCGATGAAGTCCTCCACCTCCATGTCGCTGTCCCTGTTGCAGAGGCTCCGCAGGGCTTCCAGCAGGTCATCCACGAAGCCTTCCACGAACTCCCGGGTGCGAGCAGCATCGGCCGTGGCCGTCCGGATGCAGCGCTCGTAGAAGTGGCTGAGGGTGGCCTTGTTGGGCAGGGTGAGGCCCCGCAGCGGGGCACCCCCCAGCCCGGGCAGCTCGTCCTCATCGCCGCCCGGGCACTCAAGGGAGGGCCCGTCCTGGTGGTCCTGCCGCCACACCTCGATGATGAGGAAGAGGATCATGCAGAGGGTGCTCCAGAGGTCCCAGGCCGCGCGGGTGTCGTTCGGCTGCGCTTCCTCCGCTACCTGCTCCAGGGCCTCCTTCTCAGCCGCCAGCCGCGCCACCTCCTCCTCCAGGCGCAGCTGCTCCAGCTGCAGCTTCTCCTGGTGCGCCTGCATCTTGCGGATGATCTCCTCCTCGTTCTCGGGGACGGTGGCGTTCTCCCGCGGGAACAGCAGCGGGTGGTTGATGATGGCCGTCACCACCACCAGGCACACCCGGAAGAGCCCCACGGCCATGGCGGGAGCTCTCCTGGCAACAGGGAGAGACAGAGAGAGACCACGGGTTACCCTCAGCTTCCTGGGATCCCACTTCTTCTTGCACCCTCACGCCGCCCTCTGCCCATGGTGAGGCCAACACCTTGGTCCTTCTCCCTCCCAACGCGCTGCCCCCTGCAGTGGCCTCACGTGCTGCCATCTATCTAGCCTCGGGAGAAAGAGCACCAAAGGCCTACACCTGTGGTGGACGTCTCTTTCCCTCTGTCCAGGCGTTCCTCTTGCAGGTGGCAGCAGCCCATGGTCCCTGGGCCCCCACCCTCTTCTCTGCCCTGTCCTTAAAGCCAGTTCAGGGACAAACCTAGCTCCCAGCTCCAGGCAGGGAGCACATACCCCAGGCCCAAAACAATCAGACTGCTGTACCCAGCCAGCTACAGCCACAGTGATTGGCTCAGGCATGAGCATGTGACCTGATTTGGGCCAATGAAGACAGAAGTAGGATGCTTTGGGACCAATGGGGAGACAGACTCACCCTGCCGTTAGGGTTGCCCAGGGAACAGGATTATACCTGCCGTGCTGGCAGCTCTCTTGCCACCAGGAAGCGAGCCTGCCTGAGAAAGACACCAACACAGAGGATAGCAGACCCCCACCTGCACAAAGCCATCACCTTGGGGCCCTCTAGCCACCAGAGTCAATAACAGAGTCAGCTGGAGTTGTTTTTCCATCACTTGAAACCCAAGTGGCCCTGAGTGAAACATCCATGTTCCCCCCAAGTAAATGCCTGGGGAGTCAGTATTTCTTCTTGCAGCAAAGCCTCGTGGTCAAGAACAAGAGGCTCCAAAGCCAGTTCTGTCCTTGAAGGTGACCTTGGGCATGTTAAGTCACCTCTCTCAGCCCTGGTTTCCTTCCTGTACTAGAGGAAAGCATTAGCATCCCACAGGGTCACAGTACTTAGGGCTGTGTTGATCCGTGCTACCCGCTTGGCCCAGTGACCACCTCCGACGCAGTTCCGAGCCCGAATCTCCCTCCATGGTCAACCTCTCCCCTTGACCTGGAAGGCCCCACCAATTCAGTCTTGCCCTGGGGCAATCTGTTACAGCCAGAGAGATGAGGCACTGGTCTTTCTCTGCAGGAGGCACTCCACCGTCCTGGCATAAGGGGATAGCTAGGTCTCAAGAGACTCTGGGGAGGAAGTAACCCTGACAATCTTCACAGTTCCAAGTGGGATCCACAGAGCAGCGGCTGCACCATCTAGAAGCCTGCTGGGAAAGGAGACCCTCGCCCCCTCCCCCCCATGCCCTCAGACCCGTGGAATCAGGATCTGTATTTTAACACTGTATTCTCAAGTTTTCACTTACTACAGCAAATAACCAAAGCCCCTGCTTCAGAGGGAGAAAAGCTCACAGTTTTGGAGACCCAGGTTCGCTCAAGAGCAGCTCCCCTGTTTGGGCTCTGGGCAGTGAGCCAGCAAGCAGAGAGGCCGGGGCCCTGTCAGGCTTCCATCAGGACCCTCTCGAGAGCGCCCCCTCACCGGGCCCACCTCCTGAACACCATAATTGGAGAGTTTCAATCCTGTAAGTACCATTAATTGAGGACTTTGGTGTCCTAAGTTAAGAATCCTTGGAAGCTAAGTCGTGTTCAAGTCGCAGCAAACGCCACCCATATTAAAGTCTGGGACGCCTGTCTCAGTGTCAGCCTTGCACCTCTCCCTTCCCTAGCAGGAAGCTCGGGAACTCACAGTCTGCTCTTTCCAGCACTGCCAGGCCTCCTTCCAGCAAAGACGGCAGCTGGCCAAGTGCCAGCCAGCTGTTGTCGGATGACAAAGAGAACGCAGCGGGCCCCCCGCCCACATCATCCCAGGCATGCCAACAACCGCCTTCAGCAGTTCCTGGGCAGGCCTGAGCCCCAGTCCTCTTGGCTTAAGCTGCTGATCTTGACTCTGCAGGATGCAGTTCTGGCCCACATGGTGCTTAGGAGGAGGGATTTGTCACTAGGTGCAGGCTGTCCCCAGCACGGAGGAAGACGCAGACTGCCCGAGTTGGCATGGCTGCTGCTCAGACGTGACTCACATTCACCCTACACACAGCTGGAGGTGCCAGCGGCGACCAGTGAGGAGGCTGGAAGGAGGTCCGGCTGCAGCAGAGGCTGCAGAGCTGAGCTCAGAAGCAGGTATGGGTCCCCTAGAGAAGGACATGGGGTCGGGAGAAAGTGGAGGAAGTCACGCCGGAAGGTGGGTGAGGTGAGGAAAAGGACAGGGCGGCGAGCCAGCTTCTCCCAAGCCAAAGAGCAGCTTGCAGGGTAATGGCAGAAGCAGGTGGGTCCCTGTTTCCACATACCCGAAATACCCCCAGAGAGCTTGTCAGGAGCTCCAAGGCAAGACTGTGAGGCTGGGTGGTTAACGTGGAGGAGAGTTTTAAGATAAAGGTGTGGAGTGCTAACAGTGCAGTATCAGGCAGCAGTCGGCTAGGAGGTCATTTAGGGTTTCTGAGGTCCTTTGGGGTCCCTGTAGCCCAGGCAGTCACCTTTGGGCACAGCAGGCCTTGAGCAGTCACAGTCACAGCCCTGGCAATGCCTAACCATGGAGGGAGTCCATTTCCATGTCAACTCATAGACAGATGCCACCAACTAAGGAGTCATGCCACGGAAGCCCTGTCACTGGGAAGCCCTCCTTCTCTCCACCCAGCAGCAGGTGCTAGCTCAAATACCTGGGTCCCTGACACCCACGTGGAGGCCTGGATTGAGTTCCTGGCTCCTGGCTTCGGCCTGGCCCAGTCTTGACTATTTGTGGGTATTTGGAGGTAGCCAGAGGATGGAAGATGGATCTCTCTCTCTCAAATAAATAAGTAAATAAATAAATAAGAAGCCAGCATGTGAAGCTACTGGACATGACCTGGGACAAATCAGTGTCTTCACCTGTCAACAGGGAGTAACAACGCCTGCTGCTATAAAGCTTAAATAAACGAATGCTCATCAAGCCCTTAGCAAAACGCTGGTTCCTGAGCAAGTTTTCTCAGAAGTGGAGCTGTGGAGGGTTGGAAGGATGCAGATGATGCTGCCTACGGGAGTTCACGACGCCACAGGCCACACAGGTGTCCATCCAAGGCCTCTGGAAGGATGCAGGCTGCCCGTGGTAACACTGACAGCAGCAGGGTTATGAACAAGAGGCCCCAGAGAAGCAGTGCACAGGACTGGAGCCCAGGCTTCAGACCCAGCACATGGGGCCTTGAGCCTTTCTGAGTGACCTGGGGTCATCCACTGGACTTCTTCTGGGATCCTGGACAAGGTGGGGTTTGTAACAGTCTCTCCTCCACAGGGATGCTGGGAAGCTCAGGTGAGATGATGCACTGTAGGTGCTCAGCATGGTGGCTGGCACGCAGCAGGCGCCCCACAAAGTGCAGCTCTTGCCCTGGGCCCCCAAGGGCCTGTTTTCTCACCTGCTGTGCCCACTCACCCTGCCCAAGTCCCCTGGGGGTGTGGAGGGACACAGGCTCAAAAGTGCTCTGAGAGCACAGAACGTCCCACTGTTCCTGCGGTTCCTCAGCACGTGGCTCCGTCCGCCCTGCCCAGCCAGTGAAGGGAGAAGTTTTCAGAGCCGGTGTCCTCCCGCAGCTCAGGGGTTCCCTCTGCCTCACCCCTCCCTCCCTGGGGCTGGATCTCAGCTCTCATTTTGCTCCTTCTGAGATTCTGCATTGGCTGGCGCAATCCTTAGCACCCTGAGGGAGGGGCAGGAAAAGCCAGGTCAAGACAGCGAACAGGGCTCTGGCTGCTACACGGGGCTGAGTTTGAAGCCTCTGCTACTTCCCCTTCCGAAACGACATCATGCAGAACCCTGCCCTGGGACCCAGCGGTCAGAACAGGGCTGTTTGAACGGGTGGAGAGGGGCGGGTTCAGGTGCTGCTTGCAATGTCTGCATCATAGATTGGAGTGTGAGGCGGGTTAGTCTGAGTTCCCACTCCTCTGCTTCTGACCCAGCTTCCTGCTAACGCAGCCCCTGAGAGGGCAGCAGGCGATAGCTCAGGTTCTTGGGTCCCACACACAGTAGGTGACTGGGATTGAGTTCGGGTCTCCTGGCTTCAGCCTGGCCCAACCCTGTTTGCAGGCATTTGGGGGAGTGAATCAGTGGATGGAAGATCTCTATCTTTCAAATAAAATGAAAACAAAAAAATTTTTTTTAATTGAGAAGACTCTAGGGACAGGACAGGTAGCTGGGAGCCTCTGGCAAGCCACAGATGCACAGCCCGCCCCAAAGAGCCTCCTTCCTCCAGCTCCAAGTGTGTCCACCACCTCCTTGCCCTGAGCTCCAGGACATCCATTGCTGTGCTTACGTTTGAGAATAAACCTGGGTCACTTGGAAGGCTTCTTCTGTCCCCTTGCCAGGAAGCCAGCAGGAAGCCTGCTGAATTCTCCACCCCCGCCCTTGCCCAGAGAGAGGAGGGTCCATGTAGTCCACAGCTAAACTTAGCCTGGCACAAGGCCAGAGTCACGGGGCAGCAGGGGCTGGAGTGAGATGCTGGCCGCTGGGTGGCCCCGGGCAGCAGCTGCAGGTGGTTGGCCAGGACCCAGGGCTTACTCAGACCCTCCCACTGATCTCCAGGAGGGTCCTGGAGACCTTAGGGTCCTCCAGGGGCCTAAGGTCCTGGAGGAGAAAGTCACTTGCATTCCTTCACTGGGGTCCCTTACTGCTGCATCCCCCCACCCCCACCCCAGGCCGGTGACTCTCCTGGACCATAGCTTCGTCTGGCAAACACCACTATAAGCTGGCTAACAGCCACAGCTTTGTTTCTCGGGCCCTCACTGGGAAGCAACCTTCTGAGAGGTGGGTGTGAGCCCTATCTCGCAGGTGGCTTAACCAAAGCCCACGCGATTAAGTACTTTTCTAGGAAAGTCCCAGCAGGGCTGACACTTGGCCTGCGCCTGCCACATCCAGGTGTCTCCCATGATGCCACATTTGCATAGTGCACACTGCACGGAGGGGAGGGGCGGTGTGTCAGAGGCTGCAGGAGTGCCCTGGCACCACAGAGGTGTAGGGGCCATGGG